CAGGAATCTAAGCATGAAGAGATGACTGCAGCTAACAGGCAGCTGAAGCTGGAAAGAGAAGTTCATCAACAGGAGTTGGCAGATCTTAGATCAGAGTTACAAAATGTTAAAATCAAACATGAACAAAATGTTCAAGAGCTCATGAAACTCCTTAAACAAGAAAAGGATGATGCAGAGGCTCAGATTAGAATGCTAAAGGTATTTACTCTGAAGAATTCCAATGTCAGATTTTTTTTTTTCTTCTCTTATTCAGTGATGAAGGTAATAAAGCATGGGCTTTAAAACATTTTACACACATTTTATCACAGCTCATTGGAAAAGTTTAAAGTTTGGGTGAACATTGTAACAATAACAGTTTTAGGTCAAAAGCTTTTCTTAGTTCAAAAGTAGTGAAATTAGGTATATCTGTGAACAGAAGGAGATGTATGAGGCTGTAGTGTTTTAATATAATTCAATCCTTTCTTCAACTGTTATTTTTACAATTATTGTCACAGCCCTATTAAAGACCTTGTGGTATTTCAAGGATGATGCATTTCTGTAAATGTTTAAATTGCATGATGCAGAAATACTGTCATTGTATCTGGAAACACTTCCAGAATGTGAATGGTGATAATGTGTAACACTTGTTAAGGTTAATTTTGGTAGTTCTTTCTATTTCAAAGCGTTTTTTTAATTTCTAGTTTCTGTACAATTTCTCAGAAAAATGACTATGCTCATATATAGCATTTTTTCGTGGAAAAACAAGTTAATGTCTTTATTTTACATCATTTGCTGCTGATTCAAGGCTATTGCATTGGAAAGAAAATGAGCATTTTAGTGGCTTTAAGTGGTCTGAATAAAATTGAAAAGCTAAGTTGAAGTGGTCTAAACTGTTCTATTAACTATCAACAGTTGTATTAGCTATACATTGCACTTTTATTGAAACAATTTTGATTACTTGGTTAAATATATATGTAAAACAGTATTTTGTATGTCCTAATGATAATAATTAGTATATTCATATTAATGGAGGCAGTAGTTTTCCAGATAGGTTGTAAATTACCAACGTATTTTGAGTGCCCTTCTGAAGCACTATAAATAAGCTTTCTACCTCAGTCCCATCAAATTAAAAATTTGCTCATGTAAAATTCTACGAATTTAACCATAAAAATCTATAAAATCCTTAATGACTTTATGATTCATGATCTACTTCATTGTAAGTAATATAAGCATGTTTATTTCCTTTCTCTTCTCCCAAATATGCAAGCAGTTAAAAATGCGTATTTTCCACGCTTTTGCAGTTATGAACTGATATTACTTAGAAAAGCATGGTTAGTTACTTAATATATCATTCATGGCATAATAATTGACAAGCATCTTAAGCATTTGGTAACACAGAAAGCATTTAATGAAGATAGCAATAAAAATAAAAAAATCTAGATTTAGTGGAAGGATCATTAAAATAAAAATATTTTGACAGTGGTGCTTAACATTGGAGACTTAATTTGTAATGTGTCTAGCATTATTTAAATGATCTGTCCAAATATGTGTTTTTTCTTTGACAATGATATTGAAATTAAGACTGTAGATTTAATATCAAGGGGAGAGAAGGAAAGTGTATGGTCATGATCAAAAAATGAGTTGATCATGACTATGTGTTCCACTTCTATGGAAAGGTCAATCCTACATTAAAGGCCTTGTTATTGGTACTGACTGTTGTACCAAAACAGAATATTTAAAAAATTCACTTCCTTTCTTTTACAGTGCCATGACTTTCCTAGTATCCTTCATCTACACACACATGGTTTTTTTTTACAGTTTGTGTCTCTGAAACAGAGAAGAGCAGAGGGCTTGAGGGAGTTGAATTATCTAAGATATTAGGGTAGGCAACTTTTTTTAGAAGTACACAGTAAAAATGCACATTCTCTTGATTCAAAGACTGTAAGTGCAACAAAATAGATAACCATATCCATCTGTAGGAAGATCTGATGAGAACATGTCACCATGCAGGTGATTTGGTTACTTTTTGTCCGAACTCATCATTACGTTGCAATTGGGTTTCACTTTTATGGACATACTTTTCTTCCAAATTAAGGTAAACTTCGTACGCATTTTATCAAATTGCATTTAAATATTGTGGGTTTAGGATAGAGTTTGGGGAAATCCAACAGAAAGAGGGTTTTTACCTATCTTCCTTTTTTTTTTTTTCAGTTTGGTAAGATTTTGTGCTCAGTAACCAATTTTATTTTACTGTTACAGTAATACTCTTGACCTTATTTATACCTCAGCCTTGTCCAACCTTTGTAACTGCTTTTGGAAAAGAATATACGTAACCCTGGCCAAAGGTTGTTAATGTTAAAGTCTTAAAAATAAAGGTCAGTTAGGAGAGACTTCAGGAGTAAAGGGAAATTTAACACATTTATTAAGGCCCAAAGCCTTAAACTTAACAAGAGGAGGAATTTTGATGAGTTACTTTCAGGAAATCAAGGGTGCAGAGCCCTGTGTTTACAGGACCAACTGCTGCATAGATTGAAAAAAGAAGTGATTTTTTAATCCTTGTTGTTCTTCCATCTCTTGCCTCCTCTATAAGATACTTTATGCTTCACTCTTGTCTGGCTTTCTGTAGTACTGCACTGGAATGAAAAATTATAAGGTAGTTAGGATTTTTTGGGGTAGTAGGAGAGGAATATTGTATGTTGCAGTATAACTGGAGAATAACACAGAATTCTGTATGAGATGTCAGTGTTGAGAAGGCTCTCACTGTATCGGAATTGAGATTCTGGCACTTAAGCTTTAATTCTGTTTCTGCTAGAACATCCTAAAGCATTCCCAACAAATGTCTCTTTAAAGTCGTATTAAAATTATTTAAAATTATAGATAAAGTAGGTATAGGAAATTAAGTGGTTTGTTTAGCGGTCCCCAATCAGCTATGTGTTCAGAAGCTCTGAATCTGTCTCCTAATTTTACTACATGCCCTCATTTGCTTTAAAAACATCCTTGTTCTTTTAGAATAATGAAGTACAAAGTATCCTCATGCCTGACAGAACTTTCAGGTGTTAATCTTTAATGTAGTATTATATAGATATGTAGCTATACATATAAAATTGTGTATATATATGTATTTCTTTTTGAATTGTTTTCTATACATATACCAAGTGGGTGTAGTTCTTTTTTTTCTGAAGATTATCAAATGTGGAAAATGGGTTCAATCCAGATCAGTTAAATTATGGTCACATCTGCCTTGCCCATACTGGAAATTAATAAAAATTAACTTTCTCCATTGTGTCTCAAAGGTAGTATAAGTGAGGAATTTGGTTCTTGGATTGTCTCCATCTGCATAGACATTATAATACAATTACCTTTAGTAGGAGCTGAAAAGTTGATTTTATAAGCATATTCACAGAAGATGTTTTAGGCATTGCAGGCTTGTCTTTGTGTCCATAAGTCTACGTGGACTTAAGACACCAAAGTTCTTTCTCAGAATTGTCCTTCGGAGGAGCTTTTGTTAGCTCTAGTGTCTAAATTAACTCATAAAACTTCTTTTCTTACCCTTCTTCCCCATAAAAGTTATATTTATAGTGTAATTGGGAGAATAGAATTCTTGCTTTTCCTCAGCAAGGAATTTACTCTGCAGGTTTATTTTCTGTGTGACTGCATCCCACAATTCATCTAATATGAAGCTGGTTTTGAGTAATAAGTGTGTAATTTCCTTTGTTGCTTTGTGTATTTTTTTTGCATTTTTCCGATATTTTAGAGAATTTCTCAAATCTGTCAGTTTGTCAGTTATCTTTTCTATTGGAAACCAATATACTTTATTCACAAACCTACTTAGGGCTTTCAAAGCCCTTAAATATTTTCTTATTTTTTTTCTGCAATGTTTCCATAAATAGCATTAAACCCACACAATTCTAGAAAGTAAAAATACCATATCTTTGCAGTTATTTCCTTGCAGATGAAAATACAGTATTAGGTACTGAAATGAAATGATAGTTTTAGGCTTTCTGCTTCCAAATTATTTCAGTAATGGAAAAGTTGTGTAAATACTGGGCTTCTTACGGTGATGTAAGCTGATGAGTGTAGCAGAGTTGAAATGCGGAATCCGAGGCTTCTGTTTACTGCTTTTAAAACATTGTATGGTTCTACAGCTCTGTGATACATGTTTCCATGTGCAGATAAGTGGTTGCACTTAATATAACTTAAATGCAAAAAATTAAATAGAATTATCCTTCTGCAATAGTGTCCCACAGATTTGAAACTCTGCAGGCTGGGAATGTTTTAAAAGAAGCCATATAGTGACTTTGTAATCTGTTTTCCCATTAACTTCAGATGGAACTTGGAGAAGAGAAAAACACAGTCAAGACTCAATGTCGGCAACTGGAGAAGATAAAAATGGAGTGTGATAAACTGACAGAAGAATTAACCCAAAATGAAGAAGAAAATATAAAACTCAGGCGGAAATGTGAGTTTGTAAAACAAGAACTGGAGAAAAAGGTAAACTTACCTGGTTTTAACCATGATTCGTCAGTCTCTCTGCTGATAAGTACCTAAAATAAATGATCAATTATAGAAGTAGATGGTAAACTTCAGATACAAAAAATACATGTACATATTGAAGAATATACATGGTCATGCTGTAATACACAGTTTCTATATAAATCAAAGAAGGGAAAAGTGCTTTGGCTGGGTCATGATTTGTATCCCTCCAAAGATTTGCTAATACTATTTAGGAGTAGAAATATAATTCCTATTGCCTGCCCTGTTTCTAATATAGGTAACTAACAGATGTTTAACCAAACACTTCTAGTTTTCTTCACATTTTCTTGAAGTTGCAGTGCAGTTATGAATAATTTAGATCTAATTTAAAGTAAATAAGCAATGTAAGCATGGTAAAAAGTTCTAAATAACTTGATGAAAATTACTTTCTGCTTGAATATTTAAAACACGACAAGTTTTTTAAGAAATTCACATCCCTTTCTTGTACAGGCATTGTATTTCTAAAGATGGATGCTGTCTGCCAGCCATTCTTGTTGCCTAGTGTTCTGGTTATTAATCTTATTATCAAATATTAATTTGCAGTCTCACAACCTGCAGTTGTCAGCCTTTCTTTTCAAAAATCTAGTGATAAATACAGAGTTGCTGAAGAATTTTATTTTGTAACTCTTCTTTCTGCTTTCTTAAGTTCTACTTCTTTTCCATGATTGGTTCTACAGCATTGCTTTTTAATATGTTTTTCTTAACATGAATGTGTTTTACATTGTGATTTTTTATATCTTAGATTTCTCTTCCTGCAACATTGTGATTTCAGATAAGTATTTTTGTACATGGATATAATTTTCCTTTTCCAGTGTAATGCACTTACTTGTCAGTATTTGATTAATTCCTGTTACGACAACATTGGCTGTTTCTAGTCTTTGACAAATTTGTTTTCCTAGATGAAAATTCAAGAAAACAAACAAAAATTTGTGCATCCTGCAGGAAATTGCATCTTCATGATATCCTCATTTTAAAAAAAATGGATATTTTAGCCTCTAGCTGGAAGGTTCTTGCTCTTCTATGTCAATTTAGTAATTTCTCATCCTTATAGTGAGAATTTCTTTCATACAGGCATTTATATTAACATGGTACAAGAAGTTTGGTCATTCATTTCACATGGACTGCTTGAATACTCATCAGATAATTCTTCATTAGCTCAATAATGTCAAACTATTTAAGTCTGATAAGAGGCCCATGGATACTGTAGATCTGTTGTGGCTTTTCAGGTTTTTTCAATTTAATTTTCAACTCATATTTTGTTGTTATAAATGAAGTGCACAACATCACTTAGGTGTTAAAAATCTAATGGGCTTATTTTGAATGAAGGGTAAAGTGAAGTGATTGTCTGGAAATGCTCCTTTTGTCATACTGCTTATATTTTCAGCATATACTGACTGTCTGTCAATCAGTATGCTGTGACTACTAGCCCTGAGAGAAAAATTTTGGGGTAGGTTTTTTGGTGGTGTGGGCTTTTTTTTGTGGTGACCTTTTTTTTTTTTTTTTTTTTTAAAGCATGGAATGAGAAAATCTTAAACCTGCCGTTTCTCTTAGCTTGTTAAACTAACAGGAAATGCTTTAAAAGCTCGGCTTATCAGACTCATAAAAAGTACCTCAAATGAAAATTCAAAATTTGCTTTTTCTAGTTTGGGATTTTAGTGCTATAAAGTCTATTATTAAGGAAATGTGTTTGTAGGAGTGTACATAGTCTTCTGCAGTCAGTTGTAAACTAGCTCCAACCTTACCTAATATTGAGAAGATACAGTTTTTTGGCTAAGGTGATCTTTTATCTCTAAGCTGAAAAAGTTTGGAGAAGCTTTTAATCGCACAACCCTGTGTTCTCAAAATTTGAAGGTAAATGCTTACGGAGAGTTCCACTTGATTGTGTTAATTGGTTAAGTTAACAGAATATTTGCTATTGTAGTTTTATCGTGGATTGTTAGAAGGGGTGTTAGGATGAGGGAAATAATCACAGAATCACAGAATCGTAAGGGTTGGAAGGGACCTCAGGAGATCATCTAGTCCAACCCCCCTGCTAAAGCAGGCTCACCTAGAGCATGCTACACAGGACTTCATCCAGGCGGGCTTTGAATATCTCCAGAGAAGGAGACTCCACAACCTCCCTGGGCAGCCTGTTCCAGTGCTCTGCCACCCTCAGAGTGAAGAAGTTCTTCCTCATATTCAACTGAAACCTCTCGTGTTTCAGTTTGCATCCATTGCCCCGGGTCCTCCTTCTTGCCCTTGGATTGTTAGAAGGGGTCATTGGCTATTTTCCAGTATAATATTAACTCTTGAGAAATCTCATACTAGCTGTCATATTGTGGTATTGAAAAAGCCTATTTTTCTGTTTCTTCTTCTTCTGTGCACTTTTGAGTTATTGGTGAATTTCTCCTGCAGGCTCAGGAAGTAGAATGTTGAGGAATGTTGGTACACTCAGAAAATCGAGCACATGAAAACTAAAGGAAAAAATACTGAGTTACATATTCTCTTTTAGTTATGGTCTTTGGGAGTGAACTTTGGCATGTGATGGACTGCGTTCAATGAATAATGAGAAAGCATAGAATACTGACACTGGAAGCATATATAATGCAATTTTATTACTTTCAGAATACTGATCTAGATTAGAACTGCTATTTCAACTCCAATATGGGTAGTGCAGTAATACCGGAACATGTGCATATTAAAAATTTGTGTGATTCCTTCAATTTGAAATGGCTACTAAGTCAAGTATTTTTGTATGAATTAATTAAAAAATCAGGCTGCTTATTAGGTATGACACTTTCACATTTGAAGGTCACCTATGCTAAACCCCACCTATTTTGCTAACAGATGTAACACTTATACATATAAAAATATACAGCCTCCTAAGGAGATTGTAGCAAGTTGGGCATTGGTCCTTTTTCCCAAGTACCAAGACATAGGACAGGAGGAAATGGCTTCAAGTTGCACCAGGGGAGTTTTAGATTGGATATTAGGAAAAATTTCTTCGCTGAAAGGCTTGTCAAGCATTGGAACAGACTTCCCAGGGAAGTGGTTGAGTCCCCATCCCTGGAGGTATTTAAAAGCCATGTAGATGTGGTGCTTAGGGACATGGTTTAGAGGTGGACTTGGCAGTGTTAGGTGAACTGTTGGATGTGATGATCTTAAAGGTCTTTTCCAGTCTAAATGATTCTATGATTCCATATGTATCCCATTCACGGAACTTCTATGTTAGAATTTACCTAGGTCCACAGTTGTGTCTCATGAGAGCAGTGTATGAAGATTTCCAATAAATACAATTTAAACAGTTGCATCGTGTTATTGCAGAGGTCCATAATTAATGAATTTTCAAAATTATTATTCTGGCTTTTCTCACCATTCTCAGCGCAATGTGCACATGCTGAAATGTGCATGTGAAGTGTTTACCCTTTGCATTATATCTTCCTGATCTCAGCAGCAGACAGGTGTGAACCATTTTCACTTTTTCTCACAAGATAGTTTTGTTATATTAATTACAATGCATAATTCAACATACTGTATAACAAAACTGCTACTGGGTTTAGTTTTACGTGGTAGCTCTGTTATAGGTATAAAGGAAGAGAATGTGAATTTTAAAAAGATATGTAACATATTTCATGATCTTTCTGAGATTGGATGATAACATAAACTTTTTCCTCAGTGCCAGTCACTGTCCTATGAGATATTCTTTGAATACTTTTCCTTTGAGAACACAATGACTGCCAGTATAGGTTTCTTTCAGGGATCTCTTTTTGTGATGACAGGATTAGATGCCTGTAACTGGTTCAGGGCAAAAGATAATAAGGGGACTATTGGTTGTGGGCTCTCTTTCTACTCATGAAAAAGAGGTGGTTTTGACCCTGCGAATAGTCTCTATGATTGTTGGGTACCAGTTTCTCCTAACTGATTTACAGGAGAATAAGGAGAATCAAGAGAGGAACTTATGAGTACTATTAGTAGGTATTATTTTCTGTGGCACGGAACTGAACTCAGTGCATGAGTGAGTATAGTGTGATTATAAGACTGAAAGATATATTGGTAACGATGTATGTTATACTATTAATGCAATAATTTCTTTGTTTTGTTTTTTCCTCTTTCACTCTAGGATAAACAGATTAGCAATGAAGAAGATCATCTGAGAAGGATGGATGAGGCCAGACTGCAGTTTAAGGATCAGCTGCATCAATTAGAAATGGAACAGGAATCTATTCTCGCCGTGATAGGAAGTGAAATTGATGCTGCTTGTGAAATTTTTTCTCGGGACTCCATGGAAAAATTCAAAGTAATTCTAAGTTTTAAGTATGCTGCAAATTTTGTTATTTTCTTAATGAATGTTTGTAGCAGAATTTGTATGTGTTGTTGTCACCTATCACTTAACTGGTATAGATGATTTATGGACAATAGGATTACAGACATTTAGCTGGTACAGATATACATTGCTAGGTATTAGAATGGGAGACTATAAAGATCTGCCTGTGAGTTAGTTGTTACTGCTTTCTTTTGCTAATTTTTGGTGAGAAATAGTTCTCATTTCATTTGTTTGTGTGAAAGGACCTTACATCAGCCAGAATTTTGGGGTTTTCCTAGGCCACCTCCTTAGAGGTGGGAAGTCCCCAACAAAGACCTAAAAGGCTTTTAAAATTGAAGAAAAATGAAATAGTTGTTTTATTAAAAATTCATTTAGATGCTTTGTTTTTATAGTAGAGAAATACATGCTGGAGATGAAAAGAGTTTATTACCTCCTTTTTTTGTGGAGCAGGTCCTTGCATCCAGAAAACTCATTTAAAGTTTCAGGAAACTTGTAGCTTGCTGTAACTTTTTTCACACTCTTACTACATCTCCTGCAACCCTTGTCTCCCCTTAGCTTTTTTCCTGAGTGTTCTCATTTGATCACCAGGTTCAGAACCCTCTCTTCCTCCCTCCAGATGATTTTATGTGACTAATCCTCTTAAATCGACATTGTATACATCTGAGGATAAAGGAAACGGGCAGTCCAACTCAGCTTGTCACCATACTCATTGGCATTATGGGTACTTATATCACAAGTGCTTGACCTGGTGGCTTTTTAGCCTTAGCTGTAACCACAGAGTACACTCAGATTATGTCTTTCTTGTTTTGCTATTTAAACAGAGCATGCTTTCTACTTTACAGTTCCTGGTCACTTTTGCCTGGGCTGCTTTTGAAATAGAAATTTCAGCATTGACACTGAAAATCCATTATATTTTTAATATTATTTCTTTTGCTTTATTTCTTTATTTTCTATTTTATTTTTATCTTCTCACCTGTTTTGTTTGAAGGTGTGGAGAGAAGTTACTTTGTTTTAGCCTTGTAGTGTGGTTGTGACTTTTTCTCCACTTACTTACGGAGTTGGGATGTTGGAGCACACAAATGGATGAGAATTCTAAGCAAGTATATTTAACAAACAAACTTTCTCCTCTGTATCCTTGCAGATAAGTCTTTTTTTTTTTTTTTTTTTTTTTTTTTTATAAAGACTTTGTGATCTGCTATAGTTGCCAGATTCCTGATCATTGAACCATGTTGCCTTGGACTTGTTCCCCACATCCTTCAGAGTGTTAAAAGTGCATAAAGTTTTGCTGATTCCCGATTTCACTGTTCTCCTTATTTATCGCTTGAAAACTTACAGATTTGTATCTGAATTTTTGATTAGACAACTAATGTGAAAACAAATGTTACATAGTGTTGTGGTGCATGGTCTCAATATTTTTTTTTTAAAAAAAAAAAAAAGGTAAGAAGTTTCCTTTGTTTTATTTTTCCTATGCCCCAGTACTTTAGATATTGCCAGTGTTTCTAAAAGGTTTCAGACAAGTTCTTTACTTCAAGAAGTTGCCACTGCAGCTGAGGTGAGCAATGAGAAATTTAATGGAAAAATACTTGCATTCAGAGAACTTAAACACCAGGCTTAGACTTTCCTGATGAAAAATGTACTGGATTTTTTCATAATCACTGCATACTTGGTGTTCTAAGCAAAGAATTTCACATGTACTGTTCAGATTTATTTTTTGTTGTAAGAAATCTTATGCTTGCAATAAGTACACCAGTCATGCTTAAACTATAAACTGAACACTGCCTCCTTTGATTGTGATTGCACAGAATGAGGTTTGCTGCCATGCAAGTCACAACTTTCAGGTATGCATTGCTTTGTGAAGTCATGGTTGACATGCCTACTAAAGCATTTCTTTTCAGCTGTGTCCTTATGTGGTGATAATTTTGACGTAAAACATATGTGTATACATAATTAGGTGGTGCTGTTTAGGTGCCTTTTGTCTCAGTGTAGTTAATAGAGCCCATATAAATACCTATTAAAGAAATACGCTTGTTACAAAAATTATTGGACTAGGACTAAAAGTACATACTAAAAGACTCACTGAATTGCAAAATGCAGTAAATGAAAAACAAACTAATAACCCCCCCCCAAAACCTTTAACTTAGAGAAAGACAGAATCTTGTGATCATGGGATAGGACCACATGAGATAAAGGATGAGCTGGGCATGAGGTTAATAATTTACTTGATTTTTAAATGTATTTCAGTTGAGAGCGCTGTGTATGAGACTTTTTTCTTCCCCTTGTGTATCAACTCATAAAGTGTGGGGGGAAAAAAATCCATTGCCACTAACATTTTTTATTGTCATATAGAAAACGTGCATAGAAGTACCTTTAAAACAAGTTTGACATAGTTCAATTTGAATGCAGAAAAAAGACACATCACATTTTCTCATTGTATGAAGCATTCCAGCACAAGTTTTTCTCTTTTATCCAGTCAGTGAACGTTACAATTTTCTTTTATGCCTATCAAATATTCGAAGCAAGTGATTTATCTTTTTCATGAAAGCACTAAGACTATCATCATGAAGCATAATTTAAAGAATTTGGGAGTTTGTCCTTTTTTACTTTATGATAAGACATTTATGATGTTGCACATAGCATTTCTGTAGATATACTGATAACAGCTCAATGAGTAATAACAATTGGTTCTGCTACTTCTGGTTATGTGCAGCCACTGTTGTTCTGCAGAATGGAGGTAAAAACCAGCTGAATGACTTTGAAATTGGCCTTTTCTTAAGAAATAGTAATTTTTAAATTGGAATCTGCTTGTAGTATATGGAAATACTAATATATTTTCAAAAAAGGACATACAGTTTAAAACTGAAAATATATACCTTGATGCAGAGATATGTTCTGGGGATGTTCAAAATGCATCATTGCAGTGATTCTTAGGAGAAAACTATACAGATTCAGCATACAACTTACTGTCATTGCAACTTAAATTGCACCTTTAAACAAAATTTGTGTCAATGAGTTTGCATAATTTGCTCTTAGATTTGACTGGTTTATGGTTGAATAGCTCTATTAAACCATTTACATATATGATTTCCAAGCTGGATCTTTAGCAAAGATTGTTTATTTGATGAATTTCCAGTAAGCGGGAGAGACTCTTTCTCCTTTCTGTGTCTAATTCCTGTTTTTATGCCTGTATCTTTTCCCCTGCTATTCCATAGGCAATATCACTTACACCAACAGTGCTGAACGATCCTCATCGCTGGTTAGCAGAAACAAAGGTAATAGTCAGACGTCCTGAAATTTTATTTAAGTTAATATTCAACATGTATAATCATTCAGTCGAAAGTGTTTGAAAAGGCACTTAAAGGGGAAAAGGAAAAATAAAAAAGGATTCCTTTGGCAATAACTCTGATATTCTCAGACTGTTATTTCAATTGATGAAATAATTTTCCAAATTTTGCTATGAACAAGAAATAGCTGTCTCTATAGCAAAATAAATAGCAATGCTGTTTTTACAAACGAAGATGATGCATGGTCTACGTAAGACTTGTTGACCAAGAAAGACTGCTACTAGCAGAGATAACAGAGATAGGATCAGAATCAAAGGAGAAATGTTATGCAGGAAGAATTTTCTTCATTTAAAAAAAGTGACACTGACATATTAAAAAGACCTTTCAAAGAGCACCTAATAATTATTTGCATACATTTCTCATCTAGGTTTCTTTAGCTATTAGAAGGAAGTCTAGAATTAATGACTACTCAAAGTCTTCCCCTCCCCCCCCTTTTTCTCTTGTTTTAAATAGACAGTGTTGAAAGTATTCTCTTCTACCACTTCTAGATTTACTATATTGACCATGACCTATCTTACCTATGCGCTCTTTTCTTTTTCCTCTGCCTGATCCTTAAATATTAACTTTTGCTGAGTAGAAAGGATTGATGTCACTTTTTTTAGAATGGATAAATGCTTTAAATTCCATCAACATAGCATAGAGAGAGAAAGGTGTTCTGAAAGGGAGTAATATCTCTTGGTGTCTATGTACACACTAATTCAATGTGAATTTCTATACCTACCCTAGCAAATTCATGCTCCTGATTAAAAAATACAATTGAAAAAAAAAAATCTGTCTATTGCTGCTTCACATACAACTATCAGACAAAATATGTCTGTCTTTTGAGACTCTTTGAAGGTCAACATATGTCCCCTTAACATATCTGTATGTCCCTTTTCATTATTATTATTATTCAGTAATAGGTACAGATGAGTAATCTGTGACTCCAGAGATAATTTGACAAGTTAATGTTTATGTCATCTTATTTTCATTAGAATTCTTTACTTTCTATTGTCCTATTTTTTTAATGTAGACTAAGCTTCAGTGGCTGTGCGAGGAGGTAAAGGAGAGAGAAAGTAAGGAGAAAAAGCTGCGGTGCTACTTACTGCAGAGCCGAGAACAGCTCAAGCACTTTACACAGATGAAGGAGGCTGAACATCAGTCTCTCTTTAAACAGATAAAAAGGCAAGAAAAACTTTTGGAAGAAGTTCACAGAGAAAAAAGAGGTATGTTGCTGGTTCCATTTTTGTTAATAAAAAGGAGAAAAAATTCTAAAACTCTACTAATTATAATTCCTATGGCACATTCAGATGCATTTTGCCAACCGGTTATTACAAAGTCTAATTTGGTAAAGTAGTAGTGATAACCAAGAAAACAGTTGGGGCTTTTTGTTTCCCTTGCTGACAAAAAAGGCAAATGTAATCCACTACCTTTCAGCCTAGTATGATGGCTGAATAACACATGAGTTTGCAACATGAGCAGTGGATATAAAAGTTATTTTTCAACTGTACCATCTGAGATGTTCCATGACCTGAGCAAAGAAGAATTATACAAGAGTCTGAAACATGCTGCTTTTATATGTCAAAAAGAAAGAGCCCAAACCAGTCCCAAGTCCTGTACAGTTTACTACCTTTTGCTTAAATTGTGTATACAAAGAACTTTGGCAAATTTTCTTCTCATCCCTTCTTCTGTATTGCAAAATGGAGTAAGACAAACTTTGGTTCTAATTAAAATGAATGACATTATATATAGTTTTCTCCCTCTCTTGGCATGTAATTCTTACTCTGGAGTAAAAGTAAGTACAAAGTAAGTACTTTGAAGTGTAAGAGGTTTCAGTTGAATATGAGGAAGAACTTCTTTACTTTGAGGGTGACAGAACACTGGAACAGGCTGCCCAGGGGGTTTGTGGAGTCTCCTTCTCTGGACTATGTCCTGTGCAACATGCTCTAGTTGAACCTGCTTTAGCCAGGGTTGGACTAGATGATCTGCTGAAGTGCCTTCCAACCCTTACCATTCTGTGATTCTGTGAGTGTGGTGTGTCAGGTGTGGTGCTAGCATCTGTACGATCAATGCTTGTCATGAAGGGGAAGTACTAATCAGATTTTACTGAGCAGTGTAAAGTTCTGTTAGGGATGGACCTCGCTGTCTCCAGCCAAAAGCCATTTTTTAGTCTCAACTCAGGTATTTGTAGTTTAGTATTTTATAGTTTCTGAAGATTGACTTTGAGCAGAATGCTTTAAGGAGTAGAGAAACGTGCTTTTGTCATGAGCTTATTCTAGAGTTTCAGGAAGAGAGGAAGATCTATGTCTTTTGTCATTCTGCTTTTCATCTGTGTACAAGCTCATTTATACTGTGTTACTTGAGGTTAATTAAGCACATTATTTCAACCAAGAGTAATTTTATAGTAAACCCCAAGCATTATAGCAAACTGCAACATAAACAATTTACAGTGCATCTTTATTTTCATCCTTAAACCAGATTTTTTTTTTTTTCGGCTGTCAGAAATCAATACTTCAATTGTTCTAAACATTGTGAGTGTGGATCCTTGTTAAATCCAAACTTAAGTAGGCTTGGCCTTGGCCAGGAAGAATCCTTGCATATTGTTGATTTGAGTAGGGTCACTAGCTCTTATGGTCAGTTCATAATTTATTTGTGAATTTTTATCTTCAGAGTTATATCTTATTTACTGTCGTTACTGCTTTTCAAAGACAACTCTGCATCTTTACCTTTATGATGTTTAGAAACTTTCTTTAATTTACAAGAGGGGACTTTTATTCAGTGCTTGGAAAATTACTTGAAAATTGTGCAATGTATACTGACCCATACATGACGGATCTGAGCAAACCAGAATTAACAGTTATCAGTGCATGCCTTTGACATGGTCCTCCACAGCATCCTTCTGTCTAAATTGGAGAGATGGATTTGATGGATCGAGTATTCAGTGAATAAAGAATTGGCTGGGTGGTCGTATCCAAAGAGGAGTGGTCGATGTCCGGGTGGAGAACAATGACAAGTGGTGCCCCTCAGGGGTCTGTATTGGGACCAGTACTGTTTAATAACTTCTTCAATGACATAGACAGTGGGATTGGGTATACCCTCAGCAAATTTGCAGATGACGCTAAGCTGGGTGGTGTGGTGGACACACCTGAGGGACAGGATGCTATCCAGAAGGACCTGGACAAGCTTGAAGTAGGCCCATGTGAACCTCATGAGGTTCAACAAGGCCAAGTGCAAGGTCCTGCACCTGGGTCAGGGCAGTCCCCTGTATTAATACAGACTGGGGGATGAAGGCGTTGAGAGCAGCCCTGCAGAGAAGGACTTGGGGATACTGGTGGATGAAAAGCCAGACATGAGCCAGCAATGTGTGCTTGCAGCCCAGAAAGCCAACCATATGCTGGGCTGCATCAAAAGAAGTGTGGTCAGCAGGTCGAGGGAGGTGATTCTGCCCCTCTGCTCTTGTGAGACCCCACCTGGAGTACTGCATACAGCTCTGTAGTCCTCAACACAAGACAGACATGGACCTGTTGGAGCAGGTCCAAAGGAGGGCCACAAAAATTATCAGAGGGATGCAGCACCTCTCCTATGAGGACAGGCTGAGAGAGTTGGGGTTGTTCAGCCTGGAGAAGAGAAGGCTGCGGGGAGACCTGATTGCGGCCTTTCAGTACTTAAAGGGGGCCTATAGGAAAGATGGGGACAATCTTTTTGGCTGGGCTGGTTGTGACAGGACAAGGGGTAGTGGTTTTAGACTACACCAGGGTAGATTTAGACTAGATGTAAGGAAGAATTTTTTATGATGAAGGTGGTGAAACACTGGAACAGGTTGCCCAAATAGGTGGTAGATGCCCCATCCCTGGAAACGTTCAAGACCAGGTTGGATGGGGCTCTGAGCAACCTGATCCAGTTGAAGATGTCCCTGCTTACTGCAGGGGGGTGGGACTAGATGACCTCTAAAGGTCCCTTCCAACCTAAACCATTCTATCATTCTATGATATTCACATAATGGTAATAATTGGTAATACCTTTCTGTCCCTGGTTATTGTCTAAAAGCATAATGGTAGAATAAAAAACATGATATAGCTAATGTTGAGAATTCCATAACTAAAGGAACTGGAGCCAGAAGTTTTTATATGAGAAGAGAGGAGGGAAGAAATGTTGCATGAGGCTGATTCTTGGTGTTAAGGCTTAACATTATCTCAAAACCTGCACTGAATGTTTTGAGAATATTTCTTCTCCAGTGCATGCACGTGTGTATGCTTGCTCACCCTCTCCCTCTAAGGTACTGTCCCAGCAGAAGTGCAAGTTTCTGAACCCATCAGGAAAATGTGGATAGCTGGGAATCTTAAAGGTAGAGCTAGGAGGAATGTGATCAAAGGCTAAAGAAATGAAGCCAATAAATGAATATGATCACTGAGAAAAAAGGCTGATTGACATAGGGTCCAGGGATCAGTATTTCTGTATTGAAATATATTCTTTGGTTCTATCCCTTTTTTATGAAATTTTGTTGGAGGATCTAACTAAGCCTGAAAAAATGGGAGGCTACATGGTGAGGTGACTGTAGTTTGACATCTATAAATGGCTGACGCTAACCTGACATGTGGAGGAGAATAAAGTATTGCCACTGAAAGTTTGCATGTAGGTAAACCTTGAGAACTATTAACACGCATTATGGGTTGATATATTCTATAAATTAGGCTGACTTATCATCTGGTTTGCATCTTTTTATGTAATAAGTTAGGCTACTATTTGCATACCTCAGTATGCCATGGTATGATCTTTCATTGTATTCTGTTACCTCAGCTTCCAAAGGAAGGTGTCACCTCTCAGGTTTTCTTTTCTTGTGTTTTCTTTAAGAACTTTGTTTTGGTCTTCATTCAGGACTCAGTGGCGATAATGATGAGCTATTTTTTTGTCAGACATAATAAATACTCTCTTTAATTATTATTAGTCATTTTGTATTTAGATTGATGTAGTCTCAGATGAGAAAAATTTTAAGTGTAGTTATAATTTCTGGTAGCTGACTTAATATTTCAGAAAAAGTTTTCAATAGTAATTGTAACAAAAATAAAGCAATAGCAATAACAAATAAAAGCATTCTTGTAAATATTTTATAGAACAATGCAGGTTATTTGCTTTACAAGAACAGTAAGATCCTGTCAAGATTTTCTTATTCCACTTACAAAGAACTTTGAAAGAGAACATGCTTTGATCTTTCAAGCTTGAATGTTTTTTATTGTTATAATTGATTTGTTTAAAATGATAGTACCAAGACCCTGATGTAATATTAATAGTGTTTTAGTGTATTTGAATGATTATCTGGTAAGATGATCTCCCTGAGGCCTTATTTACCTTTTTTAATTTAAGGGCATAGGAAATAAAGCAAACCTTACTTAGTTTTTATTTCTTTTGTACCTAATTTGGTTTAGTCTTTGTGGAAAAATTCACAGCCTGCATTTAAACTCCAAGCTAGAGGCAAAGTTTTCATGGGAAATGATTAAACTGAAAGTGTGGTAAAAAGTAATGCTGTTCGCTGAGCACAAAAAATAGTATGTAATATGTAATATCATACCTTCTGTTTATAAGGGCCATTCCTCTGTTCCCTACAAATATGCTCAGTTCCATTTGTTACTTGAAATGTTACAATTTCTGTAATTCTAAGTAAACTCTGTTCTTTTCTGTCTACTTCCAGAGGTGGATGCAGGTTAAAAGTAGGTAAAAAAAAAAAAAAAAAGGAAATAACAGTTATATAGCTGTTAAAGTTTTCTATGTAACACAAAATAGAAAACATGCTTTAAAATTTCACCAAATACTGGATGAGAAATAGATGACAGGATGCCAACAATACAGGCTAGTGTTAGATTTAAGGCCTGGGGTCAGGATACATGCATACAGGTATGAAGATAGGTAACTTTGACTGCTGTTGGTGGGTTTTTCCAAATCAACCTCCTTGCTGTCTTCACTTAAAAGTATTCATAAAAGATTAATTTTATTTCTTTTTTATTTCTGATTTAAACAATTAATGGTAATGGAGTTTACTAGTTTATAGGGAAATAGGGGGTCAGGAGTGTTTGTAGGTAACTATCAAGCACCTTATTGGCTCTTTACACTCCACTTTTTTTTTTTTTAATGAGATACAATTTGAAACCTGGTCATGTAAGGTAGAGTTGGTTTTGTTTTTTTGTTGGGGGTGTTTTTGTGTTTTTTTTTTTTTTTTTTTGGACACTGTCACAAAAACAGTGTTGAAGGAGGGAGGCAGGTACTTCCATTTACAAAGCCAATTAATCATGTACATGATTAAGAATAGTCTTCATGTGTGCAAATTTAGGATTCACTTCATCACATTCTAATTTGAATTAATCTGATAGTCAACAGGTTTTGTGGATGCAGATAAAGTTGTTATGGTTTTGCTCATTATAAGTGAATTTACTTAGCTTTTAGTTGCTGTGATGTCACAGGCCTTCCAATGGTACTATTAAGAGTAGAGGACCTACCACTGATGAGAAATAGGCAGGTTGACTTGGTACTCAATACCATTTTCTTGTGCCACTGAATTAAATGACAGTGCATCTGACACTGTATGCAAGAATAATGGACTTACAGTCTACATGTGAACTTAATTGGCTTGTTTCACAGTCATGTCAACATAGATTGTTCTTTTTAATTTTAAAACTGTGACCTTCCTTACACCAAATAGTTATTTTTTGTAACTTGGTAGAAGGTAGAGGAATAATAGAACGCATATATGTTAATGTGAGTTCTGAGTATTGTTATTAATGAAGCAACACATTTAAATGTTTATAAAGGGGTTTTTATTTTTAAAAAAAAAGTTGCAAGACAAAATATGGCTGTTTACATTTCTTAGACAAATACTCTTACATACTGAATGAAAAGCCTAGGTTTAATTATGATACAATTAGTAGAATGTAAACATGTAAATAGTAAATAATGTATAAATGACTTGGACATGAAAATTGGAAAAGCTGCTTTCCCAAAGGAAAAAAGAAAATGCAGCTAGTAGCATAAAGAAGATGTTAAGCTGAAATGAGAAAGCAGTGTATCAAAATGATAGAAAATTTAAATTAAGGAAGCAGAACGTTGTTTGGCTTTTGTTACTTAAACATAAAAAATGGAAAAAGCACTTACAAAATTCTAAGACACTCAGTAATGAAATTATGGGCAAAACCCGGGTGCAGGAATAAAGCAAATGAAGGCAGAGTGGATTTATTCTAATTGATAAAAAGACACTTCATATCTTTAAACACCAAGGTATACTTGACAGTATTGCTTAATAAAATGGATTTTCAGTCTAATTTGGTGCAAATGGATGAAAATGTTTTTCTGCTGCATCTGGAATGATGCACAGTTTAGATGGAACATTTTATCAGAAAGACCGGTTCTGTGAATATCTATGGATGTGTTTTGACTATCCCCACCAACACAAACCACTTGTCTGAGTACTTAATATAGTCTAAAAATACTCCATTAATTTAGAGTCATAAAATTCATAGAATCATAGAATTGTTTAGGTTGGAAAAGACCTTTAAGATCATAGAATCCAACCATTAATCTAACATTGCCAAGTCCACCACTAAACCATGTCCCTAAGTACTACATCTACGTGTCTTTTAATATGTCCAGGGATGGGGACTCAACTACCTCCCTGGGTAGCCTGTTCCAATGCTGGACAACCCTTTCAGGGAATAAATTTTTCCTAATATCCAACCTAAACATCCTCTGTCACAACTTGAGGCCACTTCCACTTGTTACTTGGGAGAAGAGACCGACACCCACCTCACTACAACTTCCTTTCAGGTAGTTGTAGAGGGCGATAAGGTCTCCCCTCAGCCTCCTCTTCTCCAGGCTAAACAACCCCAGTTCCCTCAGCTGCTCCTCATAAGACTTGTGCTCCAGACCCTTCACCAGCTTTGTTGCCCTTCTTTGGATGTGCTCCAGCACCTGAATGTCTGTCGTGTAGTGAGGGGCCCAGAACTGAACCCAGTATTTGAGGTGTGGCTTCACCAGGGCCAAGTACAGGGTCATGATCATGTCCCAAGTCTTGCTGGCCACACTATTCCTGATACAAGCCAGGATGCTATTGGCCCTCTTGGCCACCTGGGCACACTGCTGGCTCATACAGCTTTCCAGACACTCTTTGCCAAGCCTGTAGCATTGCATGGGGTTGTTGTTACCAAAGTGCAGGACCCAGCACTTGGCCTTGTTGAACCTCATACAGTTGCTCTCGGCCCATTGATCCAGCCTGTCCAGATCCCTCTGTAGAGCCTCCCTACCCTCAAGTAGATCAACACTCCCGTTCAGCTTGGTGTCATCTGCAAACTTACTGAGGGAATACTTGATCCCCTCATTGAGATCATTGATAAAGATGTTAAACAGAACTGGCCCCAGTACTGAGCCCTGGGGAACACCACTTGTGACAAACTGGATTTAACTCCATTCACCACAACTCTTTGGGCCTGGCCATCCAGCCAGTTTTTTTACCCAGTGAAGTGTATGGCCATCCAAGCCATGAGCAGCCAGTTTCTCCTGCTCCATTCTCACAGGAGAATGCTGTGGGAAACTGTCTCAAAGGCTTTACTAACGTCCAGGTAGACAACATCCACAGCTGTTCCCTCATCCGCTAAATGAGTCACCTTGTCATAGAAGATCAGGTTAGTCAAGCAGGACCTGCCTTTCATAAACCCATGCTGACTGGGCCTGATCACCTGGTTATCCTGAATGTGTTGTCTGGCGGCACTCAGGATGGTCTGCTCCATGACATTCCCTGGCACCAAGGTCAGACCAACAGGCCTGTAGTTCCCTGGATCCTCCTTCCAGCCCTGCTTGTAGATGGGTGTCATGTATGCTAGCCTCCAGTCAACTGGGACCTCCCTGGTTAGCCAGGACTGCTGAAAGGGATTCAAAGTGGCTTGATGAGTGCTTCCACCAGCTCCCTCAGTGCCCTTGGGTGGATCCCATCCAGCCCCATAGACTTGTGTGTGTCTAAGTGGTGTAGCCAATTGCTAAGCATTTCCCCTTGGATTATGGGGGATTATTTCAATTTGTAGAAATCATAAACTATAAAAACAAGACAGAGAAATTGTATTCTCAAGAAATTAGCTTGTTGATTTCCCTTCAATGGATCTTATAGTGTAGTTTATTCATGTTTTTTGGGGGGGGAAAGAATAAAAATAGACATTTATGATGGACATATCTAAAGTAGATAGGATGAATATTTAAACTACTCTATTGACGAACATGTTTCAATTATGTAAGATTAAACAGGTCTACTAAAACTCTTAACTACATAGTTTTTTCTTTTTTCTTCTTTTCTGAAGCATTTGTAAATATGTAGGATATTTTAGGCTTTTGGATCCTCCTTATTAAATTCTGTAGAAGTGTGGACATTATCACAGTCCTACGTGCGGTGATAAACTGGCTGTCTAAGTGGTGTACTTCTGACAAATATAAGTAAGCTAACAGAAAGGATAAAGAATGAGAGAATAGTGAATTAAGCAAAATACAGTAATGTAGTATAGAATTTCAGGATTGTTTTACAGAGTAACAGAAGTTTCATAGCTCTCTGGTGATGCATCAAGACTGGCTGCAGTTGTCTTCCCTTCTTGCTAAGCATACCATCCTGGAGACTTGAGAAATTCAGGTGTTTAGCAGTACTTATACCTAAGAACTGAAGAGGATGTGGGTTCTGATTTCAGGTTTGCAGATTTGTACTTTGGGTACAGTTCACTAGTTAATGAGTTGTTTATCTAGCATGCTACACAATGTAAGTAACAATTTAGGTAAAAAATTTCTCAGATTTCTACTCTTGAAGTTATTTTGATCTCATAATAAAATTGTTTTTAATAGCATTGGACTAACTATTCAATGTCTTAACAAAGTGGACAAAGGTCTGAGGAAATAAAAGGTATAAATTCCTGTTTCTTAAGTTTCATTTGCATTCTGGAATCTCTGAGCATGCCAAGGTGTTCTTACAGATCTGTTTCAAAATCAGTTCAGATCACAAGGTGGTGGTGGTGGTTATTACAGAGAAATGTTTGAAGGCAGGAAAAATACTGTCTTCTTGAGTTGCACTCAAGACCTGACCCAAATTTCTTATATTTATCCAATTTTATATGGTCTAGCCAGATTGGGTAGTCTGAAAAGATTATCATACTAATCAGTGAAAGTCTATATTTGATCCTGGGAGCACCCATTGGTCTTACAGACCTAGATTTGCTTTGGTTACTGGTTGGTTTAGTCAAAATAAAGTATCATGCCTCTTTCTTCATCAAGAGTAGAACACCAGCATTTTTTGAAAAAATAGACAAGATGCTTGCTACAATTTTATTTTTATTTTCCATGAGGAAAAAATTTCCATTCATACCCAAACCCCTTAAATCTGTTTTTACCATGTCCAGTCCCTCTAAATTTTGTAATCAAACTGTATCTATGCATAAGTAATAGTAATTTATTTTCTCTTTAGTGTATGTCTGGATTCTTAATTTCTGATCATGAATGTTTTTAACATTTTATTTTGCCAGCCTTAGCTCAGAAGGATAGATTCAGCTGCTTGGGAGCTATTATCTTGGAACATACAGTGTTTATTTCAAAAATATATATTTACTAGGTGAATAGCATTGACTGCTGAGCTTGGTCCCTGGCCTTATTTACCTATGTGTGTTCCTTTCTTGATCTCTTCATCTCTGTATTTG